CGTATTTTCGAGACATTCAATTTGACAGTAAGTTTGCTGAAATCAGAGTTCAGATGGTCCCAAATTTAATTTTTAAGTTTCCAGCTTGATTTTTTCTCGACATTCATGCTTGATCAAGATAATTTTTTGATGATATATCAATAATACTTTCAAAATCATATAGTTCTAAGATCTTATGCATTAGCATTTATAAAAAACTAAATAAATTTGGCATGCATTATTCAAAGAATTTTTAACATTATAAGGATAAATTTCTTATGATTAGCACAATTTCGACTAAAAAAAGAAAAAGAAAAAAAACTATCAATTAAAATTTTAGTAACCCTTCAGATTATTGTAACTAAAAGTGCCTTTAAACAGCCAGATCATCGGGCGGGGCGCTCCAACCATCTTTTAAATAACAAAGTTAGTTTTTTGCAGAAAATTATACTGGTAGTTCAGTATTTTGTTTGCTTATTTTTTTATTCTTCTCTGTTACTCATACGCTAAACATTCTAATTTATATTTCTTTAAGAATGCAAAATGAAGTAATTACATTATTAATGTTTACACATTGGACGACTTTTTATTTGATCTGTGAATATAATTTTAGATTAAATAATGGTCAAATAATTTAATATGATTGTTGTTTTCATATTATCTTTTTTGTTGATATGATGTTGAGTTGATTTTAATCTAATTTATTTATTTATTAAGATTTTCTTTGGGGCAACTTTCTTATTGTTTCTTAAAGCAATTTTATAGTAACAAAATTAAAATTTTTGTACTAAAATGCTGCTTTATGAAACAATAAAAAAGTCATCACAAATAAAGCCTAAGTGATACTTCTTAAATACTTTGACATAATTATTATTTTGAATTTTTCTAATTCTAAAATATTTTGATTAAAATTATTGGTTAATTGTACAATTCAATAATTCATATCAAATATCTAAACCAGAATCAAATCAATTTCAAATGAAAAAAAAATCAAAATAATATAAAGATTGGAGTCAACAATATATAAGGATCTATTTGGAACAGTTTTTTCCATGTTTTGTTTTTCAAACAACAACCACAAATTTATCTAACTATTGATTTTTCACAATTTTTCTAAAATTTTGTGGTAAAAAAAAACTTTTCATATTCAAAATGGCTAAGATATATTTCTCACAACAATTTTACAACCGATTTTATAAAACGTTGTAGTTGTTCAAAACAGACCTATATTTGACTTCTTTAATGCTTGCTTAAATTACATTTAATTCACTTATGGCTAAACTTTGGCTAAGGGAAAGTTGGAACTTGGAGAATTCTTGCATTGAAGCTCCTTATTATTATTGCCGACTTAAGTCCCTCAACTCTTAAGCCAACATCATAAAATATTTTTCCATGTCCAAACCATCTAAGTTATATCATTATCTCAACCACTTTTTGTCTTCCAAAATATAATTATTTCATTTTCACCTATTGGCATATCACCACTTAACATTCATGAATTAATTATTTTCTCAATGCCTCTTTCTTTCAACCTTACTGTTATCTTTGGAACTCTAAACCTTAGTAAAATCGATAAATTATTCTGTGCGGACACCGGACGGAAAAAACACTCCGAATTTGTTGCGCTTTTGCAAAAAGACAATAAAAGGGCGGCAAATACTGAATTATGAATGTGTTTTTACTGTCTTTTCCTGTGCTTTTGTAAATACTCAGTAAAAGCACAACAAATATTCAATTGTTTTGTAAATATTAAATATTTACTGTACTTTTATAATCCTTTTGCAAAAGTGCAACAAAAGAGCAATAAAAGCACATCAAATCTGAATTATTCTCTCTATCTGATGTCCACATAGAATAATTAGTCAAATTTTAGTGGCACCCATCCCCTTTGCGAGGAAAGTCATGTAATGTTAATTGTTATCACTTTTTTGTGCATCAATTACATTGGTCAGAGGCTTTACAAGCTATCATCTTTAATATCATGGCAACATGACAAATCATTAAAGTTATGTTATGCTCCTCCTATCAAATATTCATGGGATGGGACAAGTTAAATGAAGACAACAATGCTATATATTGATCTGCTACAAGAACTTTTTAACAGCTAACTAAAATCTCCCATCTTCCAATGATAACTATTATATTAGTTCTTTTTTCAGTAATTCTTGCGACTATATGCAACTGGATAAGTATATACTTATAAGCCTTATCATCCACTAATCGGCTTCAATCCACTGACTTCAAAGCCATTATATCTCTAGCTCAATGGCGTCCCAGTTGATGGTTCTCTCTAACAACATGATGATTAGCTTTAGGCAAATTAATGACTATTGCTCATTTAACCATTTTAATACAAATCAATTTACAAATTAGTGGGACTCAATAAAAATTTACTCCTAATTAATCCATGTCAATATGTGTAGGCAATGTTTATTAATCTCTTACACTGTCAATGCCTATCTCTAGACTAGTTAAAGCATCTTATGCTCAATCCCAACTAAAAATGCAACTTTTTTTTTCCATATATAACCGCCAACTACTAAAAAATAAAAGTGCGCACGTGTTGATCTTCGATTGTTATAGAGATTATTTGGGTTGATAATTGGAAATCCAACTTCTTTTATAATACATTATTTTAGCTAGAATCTTAGATGGGTCATGCAATTATGAAGATTTATTGCGGACTGGAACATTTATGGTAGTAGAGAGATAAAGAGTTTAATGTCTTAGCTTTGAACGAAGAAAGAGCATACATGCAGATAAAGTGAGAGGGGTGTAGGAGTCATAAGAGGTACCAGAGTTTTTATGTGGAAAATCCTGAAAATGGGAAAAACCAAAGGGCCTGACTCAGTTGAAAGGGTTCCACTAGTGCTTATTGTTGATTACAAATGAGGCCCTTCCGTGGGAGTTGGACTTGGTTTGATGTAGTAAATATACATCATATAGAGCACATTACAAGGTAGTAGTTGGAAGAATCTCGTGATATAATAGTTGTTCTCAAGAGAGTGTGGGTATGTTGATTCAGCCAGCAAGATTGTAGTAGAGTGACAGTGGTCAGATGGATCATAGTTGGTGGGCGACAGTGATAGAAGGGACCGTAGTCGGCGGATGACAGTGATTAGATGAACCGTAGTCAACGAGAGATAATAGTCATAGGGATCATAGTCAGCATGTGGTGGAGGTCATAGGAACTGTGGTCGGTAAACGATAGCAATAAGAGGGATCCTAGTCGGGAATTAACAGGAGGTCGGAGGGACCATAGACGTTGGGTGACGGTGGTCGAAGGGATTGTAGTCAACCGGCATCGGCGGTCGAAGGGATTGTAGTCAGCGGGCCATGGTGGTCGGAGGGACCATAGTCAGCGAACATTAGAAGTCGGAGAGACTGTAGTCTGCGTGTGATCAGAGGTCGGAGCGACCATAGTCAACGGGTTACGGAAGTTGGAGGGACCGTATTTAACTGGAGACGCTGGTCGAAGGGATTGTAGTTGGCAGGTGATGTTAGTTGGAGGTACTATAATCAATAAGTGACGATTGTTTAAAGGATCGTAGTCGATAGGTGGTGGAGGTTGCAATGACAGTAATTGGCGGCTACAATGGTAAGAAGAACCCCAGTCGACGGTCGATAGTAGCTCGAAGCTAAGGAACAATAGTCTATGGGGGTTGGTGGTAAGAAGAACCCCAGTCGACGGTCGATAGTAGCTCGAAGGGACAATAGTCTATGGGGGTTGGTGGTCGAAGGGACTATAGTTAGAGCATGACGAAGGTTAGAGAGATCGTGGCCGAAAGCCAACGAGAGGTCAGAGGGACTATAGTTTGTGGACAACTGTGATCGAAGGGATTGTAGTCGGCGGATGATAGAGATTGGAGGGATCGAAGTTGATGGGCAATGGGCGGTTGGAAGGACCATAGTCGGCGGACGACGGTAGTCGAAGGGACCATATTCGACAGGTGACAGGAGGTTGCCGGGATAGTCTAGTAGTCTAGTGGTGATCGGTGGTCGGATTGTGGTCCAACTGCTGCAGACAAATAAGCGTTTGTCCGACGATGGTTGTGCGGAAATCTAATGATGGTCGACGGTCGGGTTATAATCTAATAGTGGTTGGGTGTCGAGCAATGGTCTGATGATGATCGGACAGAAGTCCGACGGCTAGGTGGATGTGTAGAAGTAGTCGGGAGGTAGCCCGAAGATGGTCGGGCAGACGCTCGGCGATGGTAGGCTGTCGGGTGGAAGTTCGGTGGCGATCAGCGGTTGGGTGGTGCTAAGACGATGGTTGGGCGGACGCCTGGAAACGATCGATGGCCGTGTGGAAGTCCGATGATGGTTCGCGACCAGGTGGTCTTCTGAAGATGATCTGGTGGAGGTCCAGTGGCGGTCGACAGAGGTTCCCTGATGGTGGTGCTGGAGGTCTTGAAGCCTCAGAGCTCTCTCCAATCTATAGCAAAAGATCTCCTTTTATGTAGAGAGTTGGGGGTTCTTTATAAAATTCTTTTGGTTGATTGACTAGCCTCAGACTCCAGTCATTTAATCGATTTAGCTTGAGACAAGCTCGCCACAGGTTTGAAATACTTGCCAAAGTGGGTGACTCACATAAATTAGTTTGACAACTCCTTCATAATTCAAATGGTTAGCTAGGCAGTATGACATCAAAAGATAATCAACTAATATACAAATCTGTAATTGAGCTAAACAGCATATGAGCTTTTTCTTTTTTAACGGCTATAAATGTAGCCAATTATATTGCATCCCATGTTCTAGTTTGCAACTATAAATAGAGAGTCAAATGTGGAGCTCAGGTTATTAAATCTGTGGAATTTAATCCATTTTAGGAAGGCCAAAACTTCACTCCAACCAAATTCTCTCTCCTTTTATTTATTGTCTTCACGCAATGCTCTGTGTACAATTTCAGCATGATTCATAAATAATTTTAATTCCAATAAACATAACCTGAGGTTAGAAATATTAATTGATTAATATTTAATTTATTATCTAATCATAGAACTTTCATTAACCTTTTATAGCCGCCGTGGCAGCTTGGGAATCACCGGACTCGTGGGCTGGCCCACTTGATCAATGCATTTACCTCGAAGTAAGCCCCGATTCATTTATTGATCTAAAACTTAATTCACAAAAACCTTTCAATTTTTCGAGTTCTTTTCGAGTTCTCAATATCAAAAGATTGTTTTATTGTACTGATTGGACTATGTACGTACGTTTGAGGTATTAAATATAGATTAGAATATATACTTAACTAGTTTTGCTTATTTAAGTACACAGTGAATATATATATATTGAATTATAATTGTTGCGAACTAGAATATAAATTATGATAGATTTATAATCACACGTCTTAGCGTTGTAAGGCTATCCAGCTCACACACAGATGACACAAGATTTTTTAAATGAAAAATTATAAAAAGGGAAAAACAACAGGGCTTGGTCCAGTTGAAAATGATTTCACTAGAATTCGAGTAGACTACAGCGGGCTGACTCGTCCTTGAGGGCGATCAAATTACAAATGTCAATCGTATGATTGAAATCTAGTGGCAAATGGGGATAAAGGTCTGACGTCACTTCGTGGTCAATCGGAAGTCCGGCGTTACTTGAAAATTTAAGCGTTAGGTCGTGGTCTGGCTGAACGCCAGGTGTCAGGTGATGGTCTAGAAGAACTCCAGGTGCCCAGAGATGGTTTAGCGGAACCTAGGGCGTCAAGTGGTGGTCCGGTGGAGCTCAGGGCATCACGTGGTGGTCCGGCGGAGCTCAGGGCCTCAAGTGGTGGTCCGGTAGAACTCAGGGCCTAAGGTGGTGGTCCGATGAAGCTGAAGGCCTCAAGTGGTGGTCCGACAGAAGTTAGAGCCTCAGGTGGTGGTCCTACGGAGCTCAACGCCTCAAGTGTTGGTCCGGTGAAACTTAGGGCCTCAGGTGGTGGTCCAGCGGAACTCAGGGCCTTAGGTGGTGGTCTAGCGGAGCTCAGGGCCTCTAGTGGTGGTCCGGCTGAACTCAGGGCCTCATGTGGTTGTTTGGCGAAACTCAATTTGGTGGTCGAGGAGGCAAGAGCTCTCTCTCTCTCCTTAGGTTTAGGGCCGGGCTCCCTTTACAAGAGGGAGGAGCGGTTTATTTATAAATTTCATAGAGTGGAATGTCCCATAAATAGGAGGAAGATCAAGGTTAAATGGGGAGTGGTTTGAATGGACGGTCGATGTTGAATATTATCCCTTGATCGTGGCCTGTTCGTTAGACATTTCAAGATCTTAATGATGTCAGAATTTTGCAATCTTGGGCTTGTTTGATTCGTCTTATCGAGGCGCTCTTATTCAACTGCAAGCATGTTACATTTGGAAACCGTTTAACCATCCAAATTGTGGTTTGAACCTTTCAACAACGCTTCAGGTCCTTGATTTGGACCCATTTGGGCTCGGATTGAGTCGAATGTTGTATCGTTGGGTTTGTATTTCTAATAGGTTCAATTCGACTATAAGTTTGCTGAAATCGTAGTTCAAACGGTCCAAATTTTAATTTCGGAAAGTTTCCAACCTGATTTTGCTTCAAGATTTGTGCCGATCAAGATAATTTTTTTGATGATGTGTCAATAATATTTATCATTTATTTTAATTTTTGAAATTAAAATTATTATAATTATTTAAAACAAAATTTGGAAAAGATTGTAAATTTGAAATATATTTTGTTTTGTAATTAATCATATCCAACCAATTTTTTTTTTTCAAAAATGTGAAATCAAATTGCTATTTCAAGGAATCATAAAAATGATGTGAGTGAAGAGCATAAATCTTTTTGCATTTCTTTAGAAAAAAAATTGCGTTTTCTCTCTGATAATGCAAAATTAATTTATATTTTATGAGAAAAAACAAATTATTTTTAGTTTGCATTTCTTAAACTTATTTAATTTCATCCGCTGCTGTTCACAATTTAGCCTATCCTCAATGCCACGGTGTGGAATTTAATTAAATGTTCAAAAACTAGTGAAAGAGAATAGACTAACCTTCACTATCCAGGGAAGAACATCTATATATACGGCAAATGCTTCCTACACTTTGAACCATTCGGCAACGAATATTTAAGGTTAGAGAGAGAGAGCAGATCACTGATGATGTTGAACTTTAGGGAAATTATGGGATCTATGAGAACTGCGCATGTGCTATTGGCCATGAGAGCTCTTCTTGTGCTCGTGTTCTTGAGCTGGTTAATGATCTGGGTGGTGATGCCCACCAAAACTTATCGCAACAAGTGGAGCGCCGAGCTCTTATCTGCCACCCTCTCCACCTTTCTCGGAAGTCAAGGTGATTATAAGCCTTTTCTCTGTATCTGATGGTCTATCTTTCTATTTTTCAAGTTGTTTTTAACAATTAATAATGTCTTCCTGCAGGGACTTGGATGCTAATCTTTACATTTCCCATCTTACTTATTGCCGTCGTTGGGTGCCTTTATCTCCATTTGGCGGAGAGAAGCCGTTACTTCAACAGGTAGATCGATCTTCTTCTTTTCTCATTCCCAGATTTTTGCGTGCAAAGAAAAAAATGCCATCTTTTTATATCTAGTATAAAAAATTAAAACTTTTATCACAGGCGACTGTTTAATGACAGGGGAGAGATAAGCCGGCGACTGAGAGGGTGGCGGAAACCGGCGCTGGTGAAAGGCCCGCTTGGAGTGATCTCAGCGGTTGAAATCGGCTTCTGCTTCATGTTTCTCTTCCTCGTCATCTGGGCTTTGTACATGTACATAACAGGTGGCCTCTCCGAAGTTAGCTCTGGGGTTGCTGCAGAGTATGGAGAGAAACTGTAAGAATCATCAAAAGATATCTTATGTCATTTATTACGAATTAAAACTAATTGCTTCATTTACGGCAGGTGGGAAGCGAAGTTATATGATGTGGGCTTACAGTTTGGATTGACAGGAAATATGTGCGTGGCCTTCCTCTTCTTCCCGGTGGCTCGCGGCTCCTCTCTTCTACCGCTGATAGGACTGACGTCGGAGAACAGCATCAGGTATCATATTTGGCTCGGCCATTTAGTCATGGCGCTCTTCACTGCGCACGGCCTCTGTTATCTAATCGTTTGGGTTATTAATGGTCGCATCTACGAGGTATTTACAAGCACATTCCATTAATTCAGATCATATATGTGTAACTAATTATAAAAAGATTTGAAATTTAATTAAATAAATACTTGCAGCTGGTGAAATGGGGAAGCGTTGGCATCTCAAACATAGCGGGAGAAGTAGCTTTGCTCTGCGGTTTGGCTATGTGGGCAGTGAGCTTTCCCCGCTTTCGGCGCAGTATGTTCGAACTCTTCTTCTACGCTCATTATCTCTACATCCCCTTTCTGCTCTTCTACCTTCTACACATTGGCTTCTCTGCCTTCTGCCTTATCCTCCCCGGCGTCTATCTGTTCCTCGTCGACCGCTTCCTCCGCCTCCTGCAATCGCGGCGCCGGGTCCGATTGCTCTCGGCCCGGCTTCTGCAATCTGAGACCATGGAACTCAACTTCGCGAAGGCCCCTGGTGAGTCAAATGACATATTTTTTTAGTCATTCTTTATTAAGAGGATTTACTTCGAAGGAGTCTGTTTCTTTTAAGGATTAATATATAATATTTATTCTTTGTCATCATAAAATTTTAATTTATTTATATAATATGTTAAATTTTAAATTATATCAAAATATGTATATTAAAGTACAATTTATAAATAAATTATTATTATTAATATTCTTTTCATATAATTTAAATATTAAGATGTCATGTAAATAAATATAAAAATTAAATATAACTTAGTGGCATTTATGTAAATCCTCTTGTTTTATTAGTGCAATCAAATGATTCATTATTCTGAGCTTTAACAGATCTGACCTCATTTGATAATCTCATTTGAAGATTGTCAAACTAATTTATAATTTTATTTGAGCTCGATAGATAGGCTTGATTTATTAAATACAACAGAACTCAATAAAACAAATAAAAAAATTTTGATTCTATTTTTAAAGTAAATTTAAAAACAAATAAATTATAAAAATGAAGTAATTTAGATTTTAGTTTTTGGATGACCAATATCACAAAGAACTGAGCTATGTTCCTCAATCATCTCATTTGCCAACCTAGTCATTCAAACTACTAAACTATAACTCCAATTCAACTCAAGATCAACATATATTGAACAAAAAAATTGTGCCCCATTTATTATAAAATGTCTTTATGGGATATTGAAAATTTGGGCGAGCGAAGCATGTCTATTTCAAGAGAAATTATTTCTTGCGGAGTTCAAATAGGAAGTTTCCGTCTGAATTATAAGTATATACACAGTTTGAATATAATTTTTATACACAATTTAGATCAAACTATATACAAACTGTTTACACTCATAGTCCGAACATAAACAATTTCTTCTATTTCAGCTCTTAACTTATAGCAGACGAATGTTAGTTTAATTCGAACTAGGCAAAATGGTTTTCATAATAACTATAGAAAATAAAATATCATCAAGCCAATCGATCGGTTCTTCAATTGAACCAATTGATTCCTCGCCATCTCTTTCAGGTTTTAGCTACAATCCGACGAGCGTGGTGTTCATCAAGGTGCCAAGTATCTCATCGCTTCAATGGCATCCTTTCACAGTGAGCTCCAGCAGCAGCCTGGAGCCGGAGAATCTCAGTATCGTTATCAAGAAGTCTGGGAGGTGGACTCACAAGCTCTTTGAGCAGCTCTCCCAGCCATCATTACAATGCCTCGAGGTTGCAGTAGAAGGGCCATATAGCCCTGGATCCACCGATTTCCTAAGGTCGCAATCTTCTTCCAAACACGCTATGCAATTAATGAATCTATAATTACAGAGAATTATTAGCTCAAAATCAACATTATTTTACTGATTCGCTTTAATTCATTTGCTTTGCAGCTACGATTCTCTGATACTTGTAAGCGGCGGCAGTGGAATCACCCCCTTCATCTCTATAATCCGAGAATTAATCCACCACAGCGCCACTCTGTCCGCTAAAACTCCAACAATCCTCCTAATCTCTACCTTCAAAACCACAGCAGATCTCTCCATGCTCGACCTTCTCCTACCAATATCAAACGCCACAACCACCACCAACTTCTCCCAGCTCCAGCTCCAAGTCATGGCCTTTGTTACAAGGGAACAACAAGCTCCACCACCGGCGGCAAACGGTGACGCCGAAGCCAAGAAGCTCATATACTTCAATCCCGACCCCTCTGACGCAGCCGTGGCTCCGGTCCTTGGCCCCAACGGCTGGCTCTGGCTTGCCGCCGTCATCTCGTCTTCATTCCTAGCCTTCCTCTTGCTCATCGGCATACTCACACGGTATTATATATATCCAATTGATGATAATACCGACGAGGTCTTTTCTTATACGAAGAGGGCGTTGCTCTACTTGCTGGTCATGTGCTGGTGCATAGCCGCGATGGCTGGTTTAGCTGTTTTGTGGAACAAGAAGGTGAATTGCAAGGAAGAGTGTTCGCCGGAGCCGGCAATGATGCCCAAGAACTTGTGGACGCTTGGCGGTGAGATTGAAAGCGAACCACGCGAGGCATTGCTTGGAGGTGTTAAGGTTCAGTATGGTGAAAGACCTAATCTTAAGAGTAAGCTGCTCTTTTTCCTAATGCCAACACAAATTTAATGGACAATAGAAAATCTAAATTTTTTTTCTGTTTTAAAATTGTATTCTTACTTTTATTATCCTGAATTTTTTCAGAATGTTCTAACCTTTGTGTGTGTGTAATTGTAGAGTTGTTACTGGAGTTTGGTGACAAATCAAGTATTATTGGAGTGATGGCCAGCGGGCCAAGTTCGCTGCGTCGTGAAGTTGCAGCCATTTGCTCTTCCACCCCTGCTGAGAATTTGCACTACAAATCATTAAGTTTTACCTGGTGATTATGTTCACAAGAATTATGAACGACTTCAGTACGTAGATGGCAAGTTAGAAATGAACGAGATGCCAGTCAAAATTACAATGCTTCCTCTTTAGAAAAAAAATTAATTATTGCAGATATGTATATTACACTTATCCATAATATATAAAGATCCTCTTTTATGTGAAAATTGTGTTTAGTAATCTTTATTATTGTAGCTTTGTCATGAGAACTTGATCAGTTAATTTTGATGTGGTGCATCCTAAGCCTGAGGGAGTATTTCACCATTCTGTTATTTTCATGCACTAGTGGACTAGATCCCCGCTACACTAGTTACCCTTTCTGTTATTTTATAGTATGGCTTAGCTTTCTGTTAGGATTTTTTATTCTAGCTCTTTGTGCTGCTGGTTAATATAGATAGTCATTGTGATGGCAAAAGTTTTTCATATAGAAGAATATACAACTGTTTTTAGCACCATACTTGAGTTATTTCTTGTTCTTTGTTGTTCGTTTGTTGTTCTCTCCTACTTCTACTGATTACATACATCATATTTGATATCAGAGCTTGGAGCTTTGAAGTATGGCTGATTGTAGTAACCGAGGGACTAGCGATGACGATCTTAGTCTTGATGCCCTCTGCAGGGTTCAACCAGCGGTGGGATGACATAGCTTCCAATCTCTTCTAGTTATCTGGGGAAATGTGGAGGGAGTTTCAAGCTATTAGAACCGAATTAGGTGGAAACCGCCCGGATGGCAGCACACATGATTGTACACGCGGGTAGAAGTGAGTGTGATCGATACCAAGGTTGGAGACGCGCTTCTTTTGCCTCGGAAGTTATTGATTCTAATGATGTGGACATTGGCCATTCCCACTTTGACATCCTGTCTGATTCTGTGGGTGAAAACAAACCAATCTCATATGCTCGTCGGCAAGCAGGTCACACAAATTGCCGACCCTATGATGAATTCAAAGTAAAATTAGATATCCCTTTCTTTGATGACTGCCTCCACATAGAGGACTACTTAGATTTGGAAAGATCCATCAAGATTTTTTTTTTAATGAATGGATATTGAGCCAAGGAAAACAAGTTAAATATGTACCCTGTCGCCTTAAAGGGGGAGTTAGTGCTTGGTGGTTGCAACTACTTTAGACTTGACAAAGAGAAGGCAGGAGTCAAGTCTGCAATTAGTACCTGATGAAATAGCTTTTACGCTTTCATTTTTTGCCAACAAAATTATGAGCAAATGGTTTACCTCAAATATCTGCATTGCGTTTAGCGAAATAGGACTATAAGTGAGTATGCTGAAGAGTTCTACCGGCTTATACACTAAAGGAAAATCACGTATTATCAGTAGAAAATTGTTGAGTTTCCAGCTGATTTCTAACGGGAAATTTTTTGCTGATAAAATGAGTGTTAGAAAAATTTTTTGTGTAAAAAGATCCATCAGAAATATTTTCTTGCGGAATTTTTCCGTCAAAAATATTTTTCGGTGGTAGTCCGGTGGGAATAAGCCCTTCAATACCATCGCAATCCGCCAACCGCGCGCCCAAGTCTTCTGGTTGCATGAACTCCCTAACCAGCATAATGTCATTTCTGATCCCGGCATTCAATCTGATTTCATTGCTGCTAATTCGCCATTACCGCCCGCACAGAACAAACCCCCGCTTCTGCTGCCACTCAGCTCATGCGATCTGATTTTTCTCCCGCGGGGGCAACCTAAGGCCATCAGCCCGCTTTCATCACTCACCCAATCTTCTCCGCCTTCGAAGACGACCACACCTAAATTGAGCCCAATCACCCCGCTCTCGCTACAACACGTGACGCAGAGTTTAGTGGCTGGCGTCCAAACCGCGCTCCCATAGCCCGACCCGAATTTTGAATCCGCTTCGTCTTGCGACCATACCACCGCTCATGAAATACATGCGTCTCACACTCCAAATTCTTTCTCCGACTCTCTAAGCGACTTCAGCCAGTCCGATCCCGCCATCGGCACTCCACATGTCTACAGTCCACTTCCAATCCTCATGACCTCAATTTCAGATTTACCGGATGAAGCATTGGTATCCAAGGCCTCTGATTTTGAAGTCAGTTTGTTGGCTGTGGAATCTGTTATAACTTCTCAATTGGGTGAAGATCTCAGTTATATTTCGGCAGAATTGAAATTGTTGCAGTCCAACGAGGTTGAAAGGGGGATTACTGAGGTATCTTTGAGCTCTGATGAAATTATGCATAATGTTTACAAGGAGAGAGGCTGGTGCTGGAAGGGAGCTGGGTGCGGGCTTCAGGAATGCACTTCCCCTTGCTCCATGACCTGTATCACAGGAAGAAGTTGAAACTATTTGTATAGAAAAAATATCAATGGATGATTGCCTTAGAACTACCAAAAGTTTTCTGGTAGGTAGCAGTGCTTTGAAAAAAGCATATTTCATCTGAATGCATTTCGAGTTCGAGTTCTTGGGTTAGTTCCTATGACAAAGAGAAAGAGGTTTTAAAGCATGTGTCCAAGAATAAGACTTCCATAATTGGAATAGTTTCTTTGTGTCTTGCTGAAGATGTTTTTTTACTTTAGGTTTCGACCGACAAAGTCGATCTAGGGCAATGGCCCCAACTTGTTCGATGCAATGTCAATATAGGGTCTGACTTGCTGGTCCATGTGATAAGACTGTTGGTGCTACATTTATTGCTCTAATACAAGCAACCATAGCAAATGATGATGAAAAAAATTAGGGGTGTCAATTTCGCATCACTGGTCAGGTTCGGATCAAAACTGGAACAGACACGACACTATTCGGGTTCGGGTCAACCCGACCCGAACCCGAGCCGACCCTTTTAGGGTTTAGGGACAGCGTGGCAGCCGGGCGGCAGTAGCAGCAGCGATGCCGGCGATGCGAGTCACAGACGCGACGCGACGTGCAGAGTCGCGGACCGCGGGTTAGGCAAAGTCACGGACGCGACGCGAGTCACTCGGACGTAACGTGGGTCAACACTCAACCAAACAGCGGACGCAATGCGCGGAGTTGTGAACGCGACGCGCGGAGTCGCAGACCCAACTTGTGTAGTTGTGAACGCGAAGCGTTGCAGCTGGGCAGGCGGACCGCAGGTCAGGCGGGACAAGCAGGGCGGCTGGGGCAGCGGGGCAGCGGAGGTAGGCGGGGTTGCGGGGCAGGCGGGTAGGACCGGTCAAGACTGGTTTCCGGGTCATACACGGGTTCCCGGGTCAACCCGAACCCGACCCGGTTCTGTAAACAGGCCGATTTTCCAGACCCGAACCCGACCCGCTTCGGGTTCAGGTCAACCCAAACCCAAAATTTTTGGGTCAGGTTCGGGTCGGGTCCAATATTGTCAGGTTACAAAAAATGATGAAACTCCTTTACATGTTAAGCTGAATGGAGTTGCCACAATCAGCGGGACGATTGGCTTATCACTAAGTTGTGGTTTTATATCATAATATAAAACAATTAAGCTTCCTCAAGGAGGAAACCAAGCCCACTATATAGGTGCCTCTAAAATAGTACTGGTCTCTTGTAACAAGGTATTAGCTGCCGCAGTTAATGTTTTCCCTGATGATGCAACTTAAAGTTTTGCAAAAGAAGCTATGAGCAAACTTTGCCTAGCTTATATGGAGGTTGAAGATGATTTCTCAGCTAATCAACAAATCCCTTCTGATGGGTACCCATGTATTGGAATTGTGGGCATTGAGGATATCTTCAAGACCCGGTGTCAAGGAGTCGGTGGGCATTAAGGCATTGGGAACTCTTACTCATCCGAGCACGCTTGCGGATAAGTATAAAAGACGCAGAATTTTTGATCTAGGAATCAATTTTTCAACACCTACATCCCTTCCGAAAATGCGCCTCGACAGAGTCGAGCTCATTTAATGTTATGGGAGTATGATGTGAAACATCTTATGACGTGGAACATCATAACTATAGCTTACCTTAGGAATATATTATCTAGTTTGTTATTAAGTTTTTCTAGAAGATTCTATAGCTAGTTTATATAGGAATGCATTGTAGAAGAAGCCATTGAATGAATATTATCTCCTTTTTAAAGCTTTGAAGCTTTGTGCTTGTGATTGTTCACTGGATTGGGAAATCCCTTCTTGCAGATCTGATTCTTACGATTATCCTCTCATCACTCTAGCCGCATACCACTGCTAGACTTCCACCCGGCCGTCGATCACCATTGGACTTCCGCTCGACGGTCGTTGGACCACTGCTTGGCCGCCAACAACCGCGAACTTCCACCTGGCCACCGATCGCCGCTGGACTTCCGCCCGACAACGGATCGCTGTCGAACTCCGGTCCGACCATCGTCCGATCATTTTCAGTAAGCTGAACTTCCGCTCAGACGTTGTTGGACTTTTGCCTGACCGTTGCTGATACGGCATCAAAAAAGTAGCTTGATCGGGCACGAATCTCGAGGCAAAAGCTAGTGAGAAACTTCAAAATTAATTCTGGGAGCACCCGAACTCCGATTTCAGCAAGCTTATAGTCAAATTTGGCGTTCGCGAAATAAGAACCAACGACACCAAAATTCAACCCAATCCGAGCCCAAATGCGGTCCAAATCAAGGACCCGAAGCGCTGTTGGAAGGTTCAAACAGCAATTTGAGTTACCAAACGGTCTCCAATTTTAATAAGCTTATACTCGAATCGAGCGGCTCGAGACGAGTCCAACGAGCCCAAGATCACAGAATTCCGACATCATTAAGGCCTTCAAATGTTCCAACGAATGGTGCACGATCGTAGGATTCAATTATCGGCCGTCCATTCGACCACTCCCTATTCGCCCCTGATTCTCCACGCCTATTTACGGGAGTCATGCCACTCCAGAAAATCTATAAATAGAGCCCTCATTTCTCATGAGAGGGAGATCCAAGCAAGAAGAGAAGAGAAGAAGAGAAGGAAGAGGAGGAAGAAGCTCCTCCTCGACCACCGTCGGAACCTCGCCGGACCACTGCAGGGCCTCGCCGGACCACTGCCGGGCCTCGCCGGACCACCGCGTAGTTTCGCCGCACCACCATCTCAAGGCCCGACGTTTTAGGCCCGATGTCAGGCCCGATGTTCAGGCCCGACGTTCTACTGAAGAGTCCGACATTTCAGGCCCGACGTTCTGCTAAAGACCCGACGTTCTGCTTAAGGCCCGACGTTCAGTCCCTACGTCCTGCTGAAGACCCGACGTCATGTTTAAGGCCCTACATCCAGCTGAAGACCCGACGTCCTGCTTAAGGCCTGATATTCAGTCCCTACGTCCTGTTGAAGA